ACATATATTGGAATCTATCTTTCTAAAAATAAAATGACATGTGAATAATTTAATTTTATATCAAAAATCAAGAAAACTAAACATATCTTGAATATGGCTGAATTGGCTACAAAGGGATCTTACCATTTTTGGGAGAGTATTACTGTCCAAAGCTGAAGGCCTTTCTAGATTTGTTTACCCTGCTCTTTCCATGTATGTTAGTGATGAAATTTCCAAAGATATCAATAAATCCTTCTTAGATTTTACATGGAAAAATAAACCTTACCTTAGATTAGATTAGAAACCTTAGATTTTTTTGACATTAACAATACTTTTAAACTTAATTGGTTAAGAAATTGTCTAAAAAATGATAATTCTATGTGGTTCTTTATCCCACAGTGTATCTTTCAAAAACTTGGAGGGTTATCTTTTCTTCTGAGATGTAACTTTCTTCCAGGAAAGTTGCCTATTAAATTATCAAAATTTCACCAGCAGGTACTATTGGCTTGGAAAATTTGTTTCCATCACAACTTTTCTCCACATAACATGCTTTTATGGAACAATTGACTTATTACTTCTAGGAATAAATCGTTATTTTTGCATAGGTGGTTTGAAAGGAATATATATTTTGTTATAGATATGTTCTGTGAGAGAGGATACATTCTGTCTTATGAAGACTTTATGCATGTTTACAACTTTCCCATCGCCTTTAAAGAATTTCAAGAAGTGGTTAAAGCTATTCCAAATGGGTTGATTGATACAACGAATAAATAATCACCTCTCTTTTGGAAGCAATGAAAGGATATTTCCAGAATTAAAAATGAATGATATTGAAATATTTTCTTCCTCTTGTAATGATAAAAATATTAGACAAATTTTGCAATCAAAACATAAAATCTCCCCTAGTGGAAAGTTCTTTTGGAATGCAAAAATTTCTGATATTAATTGGAAAACGACCTGGTCAAATCCTTACAAATTTTGTATTTTGAATAAAGTTAAAGAGGTGCATTTCAAAATACTTCACAAAATGTACCCATGTAAAGAAGCTCTTTCTAAATTTATGGACATTGACAATACTTGCAGTTTTTGTAACACACATGAGGAAGACTTGTGTCATTTGTTTTATAATTGTGATTTGTCTCTTAGATTTTGGTCTGATGTTAGTGCCTTTCTATTTCTGCGAAGAAATGTTAATTATGTTCTATCTTTAAAAGATGTTATTTGTACTTATTCACACAAAAGTAAAATGATTGAGTATGTCGTTAATTTTTACATTTTGCAAGGTAAATATTATATTCATAAACAGAAATTTGCGAAATGCATACCAAAGTGTAATCTATTTTTATCAGAAATGGAAGCTTTGAAAAAGTCTCTAATTCAAATTAATAACAAAACGAATGACATATTGTTAGATTTCATGGAGAATTTTTTTTCTGATATAGCTCCCCTGCTGCAATCTGTGAATAAGTCCTAAGGAAAAAGGAAGAAAATTTGAACTATTGTTTAGTTGTTTATATGTTTTTTTCATTTTACGATGTGGTTATTTGTTTATTTTATTTCTCTTAAACACTGTTCTACAGTTTAAGATTGCTCTTATATTTTGTGTATCTGGATTTACTTGTTAATATTTTTGTTTGTTCAATCATTCTTCTTTAATTAAAAAAAAAAAAAAAAAGCATTCTTTTTCACATAATTTACCTTTATTCCATACCACTCTGTCCCTTCTCTGAGAAACACGCTGATAATTTCCTTCTTTTATGAAGCCCCGCCCTCAGAAATAGGCTATGGGCTCTGAGAAAATTTGAACTATTGTTTAGTTGTTTATATGTTTTTTTTGTATTTTATTTAGTTTTCCCGATGTGGTTATTTGTTTATTTGACTTATTTTTCTTCTCTTAAACACTGTTCTACAGTTTAAGATTGCTCTTATATTTTGTGTATCTGGATTTACTTGTTAATATTTTTGTTTGTTCAATCATTCTTCTTTAATTAAAAAAAAAAAAAAAAAAGACTCATTTGGCAAGCTGCAGTTTTATTAAAAGGACTCATCTAGGCTGTACAGACTCAGAGTCGATTCTTTATTTTGGGAGACAATAACTTTATTTATCGTGCACTTTCAGCTTTACAACTCTGCCGATCGTTTACATTCACATACAGCTACATTACACACTGCATGAAAGACAATATTGGAAATGGCATAATAGGGGCACTTTAATTGTACAAAAACTGCAATAAATGAATATGAGTAACCCTGTAAAGCCTGACATTCTGTATGAAATCATCTCATATAGAATGTCATTGAGATGATTTCATTGAAATGATAGTAAGAAAAATCTAATTTACTGTTGTGGAACCGTATATTGAAAGAAAAAACATTTGCATATGGTTTATATAGTGAGAAAATGGAGCTCACGGGAAAAAAACACACATCAGTTTTTGAATCTGTTTAGCTTCTGCACCACTTCTAAAGTGAAAGGTCTGATCTGAATGATTGTGGCAGTGTAGATTACCCATGAACAAACTGTGAAGGCCTTCTGCCAAAGCAGCAGCATCTTTCTCTATCCTATCATCCTCAGGAGGGGCCCATCTCTATTCTGAAAATCACCCCCTACTGGATACAGAAGGAGTGTAAAGAGCATTATAATTGGTAGCAGAGGGAGTCCGAGAGACTGGATTCATTTAGAGTGGGTCACTAGAGAATGGGCGTAATATTAATTGCAGTTTTGTAAAAAGAACAGGATCTGAGGCAAATTAAAGCATTGATTTAAGAGTCAGAACACATTCATACACAGAGGAAGCTATTATCATGCTATGCGGGTACCTGTTGAGTATCAATATGTAAACTAAAGTCGCTATAGAGCCGCAGCCCTGCACAGTTTTGCTTCAACCCTAATCAAACACACCTGAACAAGCTAATCAGGGTCTGAAAGGTTACCAGAAAGCTACAGGCAGGTGAGTTTTAATTAGGGTTGGAGCTGTATTCTGCAGGGCTGCGGCTCTCCAGGACCGGAGTTCGACACCCCTGCTATAGAACATGAGCCAAAGAACTTCCTGAAAATTATGTAAAAGTCCGCGAGAGGGAGCCATATTCTCAGTTACAGCGGTTATCATAATAACCAGCATGTAAATCCACCAATTCTGGATGTATTTAAAATAAGGCTTAAAGTAAACTAAATTAACATACTGACAACTGCAAAAAGCAATTAGCAAAATAATTTTTAATCATTTTGGGATAGCTTGTTAAGAAATTGAATATTAAATATGACTTTTCATGATGTCTAAGAACGTAGAGCGTTTATATATATATATATATATATATATATATATATATATATTATTTTTAAAGAATCATTTATTATACAACCTTTTGCACTGCTAACGCAATGCTCTACCACTGAGCCACAGGAACATTAATAAAAAGTATTTTTCTCTCACCCCTGCAGGATAAAGATTTGCCAGACCGTCCTTTAGGGATTACATAATGTTTTCTTCCTGTAAATGGTTCATCAGAACACACCCATCCTTTATACAACATGAACCACCTCCCACTACTGGAAATAAATGACCTTATTTTTCCTTATGTGCCCTTCAGGCTGAAAATATTATAAAGCAGGGACACATAAGAAATGTATCACACCTGTACTCCACCCAGCAACTGTCCCAAGATACACAAGTTTCATTCTCACAGCCAGGAAATATTACTTCACTGTGACTTTATTTAGTTAAACATGACAAAATGGCCAGAGCATGCAGGCCAGTTTTCACTGCTTTGAGATTACAGGCTACCCTGTTAAAAATGTCAACCATTTTATCATTTTCATCTTGCAATTAATAAATATCATGTTGGATGACATTTTACATGTCTAAATGTGAACTAGGGTTGCTTGTTTTTTTTTTTGCACATCAAGGCTTTGAAATTTTGGTCACCCAGTCATACTTTAATACATATCTCTTCTGTTTGGTTTACATCTACTTGTATATGTGCTTCTAAGAAGATAGATTTGAGTTAGTTTGTAAGTGTCTTGTTTGAGTAGCTGTGCTATTAATAGGTTATTTACTGTGGTCTGAGAGTAGGTTTAGTGGGCTAATGGAACACCGTGAGAGAGTTGGTTTGAAGTCTGTAGAGAGCATCTGTTTCTCACAATCGATGAAGAGGCAAGTGTTACATGTCCTCTATATACAGGTTCTATATGTAGTTATCATATCTCTTCTTCATTCATCAATTATCTGCTTTATTTTATCAATAGCACATTTATTTGCAAGCAGCCATCCTTGTCTCTGTCTCTGTCATTGTCGTTGACTCACCTTGGCATTTAACAGACGAGTGAGACGAGACAGTGAGATAGAATTCAGCAGATGTTAATCAAGTGAGTAGATCTCTCGCTGTCTATCAAGTTTTTAATCAGAGAACTTTATTTTTCAAAGTGTGCACACATTTGCAGTTGATGGCAGAATCTTAAAATCCAGACAGACATAGTCTTCCCTATATACTCTGTTATGTGTCATTATAGCAGTAAGACTTCATGTTATGCATATGGCAAAATATTAATGCTACTGTTTCACCATTAACTTAACTGAAACAAGTATTAGTATGTGTCATGTTTATGTGACAAATTGATGCGTTTTTAATAAGAGATGATGGTTGAGTATGCATGTACATTATGTGTTCTCATTCATTAAATTGCAGGAATTTGTTACTTGATGTGGCCTATGACTGTGATACTTTATCACAAGGATTCTGAGTTTGTGAGAGATCTGAGCTATGACTTCATTTCAGAGGACCACATTTTTAGACTTTTATATTTTAGACTTTTTGACATTTCAAGTGGAATTATTATATTTATATAGGCAACCCATGTCTGACTATTAAGACATGTCATTGAGCATGTTTTAATTTCTCTTTAACTGAATTCTCTGTACCTTTTCATTTATGAAGATATTCATAATTTTCATCTTTCTTTAACTGAATTCTCTGTACCTTTCATTTATGAAGCAGAATCCAAAGACTGTACGAATGTGGATTATCATCTGTCTTTTGTTCACTTTGGTTCTAGGTAAGAAAGTGTCTCTAAAAAAATTTAATTCAAGGATATAATTAAAAGTAATTAAAGGATAGTAGCAGGATGAAATAAAATTATTGTAATTTTTTTTATGTTTATAACTAATCCCATAATGCCCTCCCCACAACTTAAACCAAGCCATGGGACAGTCAATGCCACAGATCTACTCAAACTGCGCTACAATGGAGAAGGAGAATGAATTCATTTTTTCCATATTTTGTGCTTGTCCATGTAGTAACAACAAAATGTGATAGTTCAGATAGTTTGTTTTGAATTCTTAAAACAAAGTTTGCAGCTTAACATACATTTATTCTTTTTTAATTTTTACTATATTTTGTTCAGCAGCAGAAAATGACAGAGACTTTAAGATGTGTGGAACGTGGCGCCATGGCAGTGCACCCCGAAATCTGAAGTATGATTTGAAAACAGGCTGTAAGGAAATTGAGATTTCAGCCAATGAGAGCACACTCTCTATTCAGGGCAGTATCACAGCCAAGTGCACACAATCTTCATCCATTAATCTAAAATCAAACCCTCTTAAAAATCAAAGTCAGTTCTGTGTGTTCTGGGAGCCGCTGCTGGACCTGCTGATAGTGCAGGTCAATGGAAAGAATCACACTCTGTGTCGACCAAATGGTCTTCAAGGAACGTGCTGCACTGACCTCTCACCAGGGGATCAAGAAGCTGCTGCTCTGTATGGCATTGTGAATGGCAGCATCCAGGGTGATACCATCAGTTATGATGTCATGGAAAAATATACATTTCGAGGAGATACAATCAACTGCAGTAAGAAACTTTAGTGTAATATTTTACATTTTGTTGTATTACAATTTTTGAAAGCTACAGATATCAATATACACTGACTGAGCTCACTTGTGAGTTCAGCATTTCTGAGCATGTAATTAGTTTTAGTTTCAATATATTTCTTCTGTTTTTCCACTTGCAGAGAAGATATTCTGTGATGAGGCAAGTAAGAAGCCTAGTGGAGCAAACATGTGAGCCAATCATCATTTTATTTCAGTTTGTTAGTTTCTCTATTATTTTAGAGTGTTATGAACTGATGTTGTCTATCATGCAGATAGTAAGAGGTGATGTTGTGCATGCTTATAAGAGCACAATCATGACACGGTTAAGTATGAGTGAAAAACAGAAGTTGAGCCGCAAACAGGAAGCTTAACCCATGACTAAAATGGCTTTCTGACTTATGATCACTTTTAATGCATGCAGTTCCAAGGGCATCGTTGGATATTTGATGCATTAATAACATTTTCAAAACTTGCATTAGTATATTTGTATATTGTATAATCATGCTGTTTTACTCCATTCATGTGTGAACATGAAAAAAAAATGTTTGCAGGATAGAGGAAGTAGTGATGAAATCCAATGAAAGGGGTCGGGTGGATCTACCTTGTGCTCAGAGCACAGTCATTGAGATGAAGGAGGGTTTCACAGGACTCAATTTCACTCTGCCAGTAAATAACATTCACCTTATAGAAGCAGAAAGTTCATATAACCTTTGAGTCACAGGAAGGGCTCTTTCTAGCATATGAATAAATATAAATGTTGCATTCCAGGCCCCTCGAACTGTAGCACCAAACATGATACCCTCGGTTTATCTTCCCTCCTGCCTGAAATCAATGTCAAGGAGCACATCCAAAGTGGTGTGTACTTACTACAAAGACAAAGCATTATTTCAGGTATGACAATATTTGTCCAGCAGACATAAATCATGTGTATTTTTTAGCTTCCATTGGCCTACCAACATATATATACAGCAATGTACAGTATGACATAACAGTGTTTGTGTTGTGTAGGGGGGATCGTCTGATGCAGTTCTTCTGGATGACATAGTTGGACTCTCTGTGGAGAATGAGAGCATCAAAAACCTCTCAGAACCTGTCAGAATCAGGTTTCATCACTCTCCTCTCCCAGTAAGTCTTTTTGTGCATGTTCACTATTTTTTAATACTTTCTTAAAGCTGCAGTCCGTAAGTTTTGCTTCTTTGTCGCCATCTTTGTTTTCAAACCTGCAATTGCAGCTGTTTGCGGAATTATCTTTCTTGTGTGGGTTGTGCGCCGGCACGGCTCCAGCGTGGATGAATCTAATGTTTTGAGGAGTGTGTGTGTGTGTGTGTGTGTGTGGCAGTCAGTCACCGCACCGGTGTGGATATTTACTGTAGGCTACTTCGCAATCACAGATTCTAGCCTACGTCTTGGAATATATGGCCCAAATAAGCATTTTCACCGTATATTGTCATCTGAACAAGTAAGTAGCAAGTCTGCCACGCTTGTTCTGTCCAACTGAGGAAAAAAGCATTACAATAAATCGTGCTACCAATGGTGATTTAATCTAAAGATCGGTTAGCTCATATCACATCAAACCGTGCAAATTATTATTATTGTTATACTTTATTCTCAAATTGTTAATGTTAACAACATCAGCATTGCATGACTATGTGTTTAGTGTGTATTAGCGTGTGATTCCATTTCTGCACAGTCTAATCTAATTGTCATACCATTCGAATTTCATATTAAGAAATTCTTTTAACCCAAAAAGCAAATTATGCTCCCTTCAAACTGGTTGTCTTTAAAATACAAATCTTGAGTAATCCCAGGCTATCTGTAATCAGAAGCACATTTAAAACTGGAATATAATTTAATTTCATTCACATGTGTTTCATAAACACATAAACCTTTCTGGATTACAATCTGCCATCAAAATTATAAATTTAATTATTCCAGCTGCTG